GTTTTTATCAAATTGAGTACATTCTTAAAACATTAAAAAATAATCAGAATACTAAATTTTGTGTAGTTATATTCGGTGTGGGTATACTGTATACCTAATATCAAAAATATTTTATGGATGCTGTTGTCGAGAAGTTACCTTTTTATTCAAATACATATGTGATCATATTTTGAGTATAATTATGATTTATTATTCATCCAATATTAATGAAAAAAAAAAATGTTCTGATTAAGTACATTGTACATATTATGGTAAAATATGTATAGTGTATATTAGGGGTGGCCACTACGAGACTAATGAGCCGCATGTGGCTTTTGATTCAGTTTATAGTATGGCTCTTGAAACCAATCATCTTAGAGTAAAATTAATTAATATAGTATAAAAAATACTTCTCAAAAGTATAAAAGCTCATTCTTCAATGCGTACCTGGACAATAATGTCATGTGTACTGTAAAAAGATAAAATTGATCCAAAATGTATTATAAATTTTTCTTCATTTTATAAACATATATAATATATATATTAACAGTGTGACTCACTTCGAATTAGCTTCCAAAATTAAGGTTAATGGACATCCATGGACTCTATATTATTATATTATATTGTAGTCAATGAAATGGCGGGAAGAGTGGTCGATCAACAAAGACGACGGGTGGCAGCCACCCCAAGTGCTGGTCGATTACATGCCAAGTGGTATCAGCGGCTATGACAAGGAGGGATCACCAGTGATCGTTATTCCGTTCGCCGGGTTCGACTTGTGTGGCCTGCTCAAGTCGGCCCCACCGAAGGACATGGTCAGGTTCTTGGCTCAGAAACTTGACTTGTACTTAGAAGTGGCCAGGCAATCGTCGCTAAAGCACGGTCCAAAAGCCTCGCAGGTGTCCTGCATTGTCGACCTGACCGACTTCAACCTTAGGCAATTCACGTGGAAACCAGGTAATTATTCATTATTAAGTGAGCCCCTTATACCGATTTACTCTATATTATATTGCATATAGTTGATGTTATTATGTAGGTACCTATATACATAATATATTTACTCATACTAACGTTTAAAATAATAAAAGGGACTAGGTAAATTGAGTCCGAGATAAGTTTAGTACATTTTGAAAGCGGTAAATTGAGTCCCGGGGAAAAATAGGTAGTAGGTAAGTTGAGTCCCGAAAAAATAAGGCAGTAGGCAATTTGAGTCCCAGGGAAAAACGATTTATATGCATTTAAAATTTAGAAATGTGCTCTAAACAATTTT